TCTCTTTATTGAGTAGTACCCCAAGGCAGCAGTACTGAACATTGCTTCCTTTGTTCCTTTGAACGCCTGTTCTTGATCAGAACTCAGAATCCATGCGACATCATTCTTCAATAAGATGCGTAGTGAGTCTCTCAGTTGTGCTAGACACGGAACGAATTTTCCCCAGTATACCACCATACCAAACTGTCTCCGGTGTTTCTTTAGTACTTTAGCTTCTTTATCGCGTCGGCTTTTGCCTTTGTCCTTTGACAAGAAGGTACCCCAAAACTGAATCCTCTGAACGTTGAATGATCACTTTTCTTATTGAGATTCAAGCTCTTTTCGTGTAGTGTTTCGGTGCTGTCTCGAAGTTTCTGCTCTGTACTCGCATGGATTAGTATGTCGTCCATTGCGCCCAGTCTGTTTGGAATGTCCTGGCGTAATCTGCTCAAATACATCTGGAGCTGAAGAGGGTCCACATGGAAGTATAACGAACCTACGTTGGCGCAAACTTTCTTTTCTTGCGTTTTCTAGGGTTTCACCACGTCCGCTTAAGCTTGTTAAGCGAGACTTAAGCAGAAATAAGCGAGCTTAGGTCAAAATAGCGTTTCACCATGGTTCGTAAGCGTCGCGTAGTATTAAGCTACTCTTTGTACATAAGGGTTTTCCTATTCTTTAAGGCTTTCATTGTCTTCTCACTTTCCGTAATTTCAACTACGTCATTCCGGTTGTCATCCGGAAATCCACATTTATATTTGGATTTCTTCCTTGGTTTCTTGATATAATTGTAAGTAGTTTTCCGATGAGGACATTTCAATCGATTTATTTTGACTATAGTTTATTTCAGCGTTTCTATTCCTTAACATCTTCCAAACTTTCTTTTGAGCGCCATACATGTCTTTCTTCATATCCTTTGTGAAGTTTTCAAGAGTGCCTCCTTCAGATCTCTTATTTGCTTTGTTCCTTGCAGCAACGTAAAGTTGACTTCTGATAATTTGTTGTTATTATTATTATTACTATTATTATTATTATTATTATTATTATTATTATTATATGTTGCCTTAAACGACTTGCACTTGTGGCGGTTCTCTGTCCCACTGTTGAGTTCCAGTTGTACGATACTTTCCACGTTTTGCATTTACGTGCCATGTTTTTACCAAATACAGCTATTTCGGTTGTCGAATGTTAATGCGATGAGCTAATGTATGATCTTGAACATTTTTTACGTTGGACAGTTTGTATGGTCCTATGAAATACCAATTTATTTCTGGCGCTCAATTCGTTGCTTCCCCTCGCTGGGAACCTGGGGTCCGGCTTTGGATACATAATGCTTTCGTCAAACCGTTCTGATGGTATCTTGCTTGCCCTTTCTCCAAAAGACGCTGCTAACCCACAGTATTCTTCCCCACTATGTATGACCCTCGTTTGAAATCTGATTTTTCGAAAACTCGAAGTTTTTTGGTATCTTCTACAACCACACTGTTGAAGATAGTGCTTTTTTCCTTAATGAAATCTGTTGTTCAAAGATATATCTTGAAATCATTCCCATCTCGATCAGGTTTTCGTCTAATTTCCCTGATCCTTGAGCAAATGCTGAGATAACCTCTTGTTTTGTTTCTAGACATAAATGTAACTTCAAAATAACTTCTCCCCTTAGCTCGTCACACACCGTTTTAAACCATTTTTGACGTAAATAAATAATGAAATAAAGTCATGTATACTATTTCAAAAAAAAAAAAATTTTCGCATAATTTCGGCTTGAAGTTTATTTTTTTAAATTTCAAAAACGGCTTCAAATTTTGCCATCAGTTTTTTTTCTTCAGGGATATAGCAAGGGGCCTAAAACGGCACCGGTCTCATTTTGTTGAACTTTGAATTTTCAACAAAAAGTCCGTTAGAAATAAGAGCAAGTATGTGCTGTTGTACCTTTGTTGTTGTTTTTGTTGTTTTTTTTACTTTCTCACCCTTACGAAAGTACTTCTTAAGAAGAGAAAGTTAGGTAATCGGGCCCCAGAAAACTGGGATTTGTCGTCAGAAAAACTATTGCCAGGTCCTGTTGACGAAAAGGGAATGGATCCTGTTGCTATACATGGTAAATTTCTTCTAACGCGTGGTTTAAACAGAATCCAGTTTTGTGGGACCTTGATACCGAAACCTTGTGTCCGGTAACCCACAAAATCTTCAAATTTGAGTTACTTATAGTTCCATGTTTTTGAAATACTAATCTTACATCCACATTACCGAATAAGCTTATGGCTCCGACGAACTCTGTAAAGAAAAATAATTCAGAAAATTGAAAAATGTTAACATTTGAAATAAAATTGAAATATGTTATCATTTAAAATTTCAAGAAAGTTATTTTCTTTAAACAAAATATGTTCTAAACTAGTGGTTGTACAAATGCACGTACTTTCTCACATCATTTCTAACTGCTCCGCTATATTATACTGCTTCATAAACTTGCAAAAGTTTTTTCAACCAGCAACAATTTCTTTCCGCTCCGAGACCCGAACTCAGATCCTCAGACTTAACTTGCCGAAACCGATAAAACTACGCCACAAAGCGCCGTATGGCAAGAACCTTTGTATGAACGAGAAGTAATAATATTCTGATTCGTTAGGGATGCCACAATAAAAGAAATACTAAGTCATTAATTTACTTAAATCGGTTCATACTGATGCGCAGAAAGACCACAATTGATTTGACATGACATACGTTTTAGAAATCGAATAAGATAGGTGGGAAAATGTTTAAAATTGCAAATTGAAAAAGAACATAGGCACGTCCCGTTTATTTATCTGTATTGGTTGTGTTTGTGAGTAGAAATGCTTCAAAATATTTTCAATAGTGTCTTGAATCTTCAATAGTTTTTTGCAACAACTCAACAAATTAAAATCCCTGCGCGAACCCGATTCGTTTTTTCTCGAAGGTCTGAAGCCGTTCACGCCGTACCCACCATGGCCATCCAGGTTGGTCACGGTCTGTATACTTCTAAAATAAATAATTAAATGTCTTTATTGATGGCGAGGCTTAGGACATTTAGCCTGCACTTCCGCCTGACCATTTTCAAAAAATTATTGCAATAGTTAATGAAAAGAAGGTCATTCCAAGAGAGATACGTACGCAATTTGGATGAGGAATTTTTGAAGGCAGGAATGTAAGCAAGGAAGGAGTAGATAGAAAAGGGAATACTCTCGTAGAATTTGTGAGATGAAATTTGTTTATTTATGTTAGGGATGAGTTAAAGTTAATTAAATATATTAGAAATATATGAGAATTTACTCATATTTAGATAAATTATATTTTCTGACTCAGCAAATTAGGTACAGAAAGGATTGTACGGATCTTGTATAAGTCCGTAAAAGGTTATTCAGTACTACTAAATGTTTCACATTAGTTTTTACAATTTCTTGCTATAATTTTGATATTATAATTTTGATATTATAATTTTGAAAATGAAAGTTCTTGTTTGTTTGTTTTTATCTTCCTGGAAATTTTTTTTTGGTTTTCATTGTAATCCACTAAACATACTGGCCAAGCTGCTTACTAATTATATGTATAACCCTTTGGTTAATGCTAAAAAAATAATTTAATTTTCCATTACATAAAATTTTATAAAAGTGAAATAGTTTAAGCAATAAAAACAGTTATTTCCAAATTGCTTAGTTTTTATTAGATTTAACAATTTAATTCGATGATGTTTAAATATTTACACAAAAGCATTTTGAATGGTTTATATTCAGGTATTACTACATTAGTTATTTGGTAGCCTTGGTTGAGTGTGCATACATAAAAGAAATTAACACATCCATTATTTTTCAGGCATTATGGAAGATTTGGAAGATATTAGAAGAGAGAAAGAGATGGAAAGAAGGAAAAAGCTTGCCAAAAAGAGAAAGTGATGATGTTCCAAGTTTTCAACTATGCATTTTTGAAGTACCTGTATGCTTATTAAGATTATCTATATGGGTACATATAGTTAAGTTTTCTTGGCAATGTCAATTTTGAGCGCGATGGCATTTCTTTGAAATCTGAATAATAGATGTTAACTCTTGTATATACTTAAGTATATTACATTTTATTTATGATGGAACTGATGTCCAAAATACACATGTCATTTGTTGTTGGCATTTATTTAAGTACAGTAGTTTGTAGCTTTTATTTTTGTGCACAAAGCATTTAGATACTGCCTAGAAAACATTTAAATTTTGAGAATATGTGTGCAGTGTATTGTGAATTTATACAATGTTCAAAGTAAACACATTTGTTGGAAGATGGGCATTTCAAGGAAGGCATTTGTTAGAATAATTTTTGGGTGTATTCGGTGGAAGTTGTTTCTTAAAACTCTTATTACAAAAGGCTGTGACTACAGTTCTAGATGTAGCAATGATTGTAGTTGCGAAATAACAGAGTTACTCGTTATCATATTTTTCCGAATGATAGAATAGCTAGCCAACATTAACACTAATGTATTTTGGACTTGTGCATAACTATAGGTTTATATATTTGTTATTTTTGTTGCACTTGATGCATTATAATTCATATAAAACAAAAGATCTTGTAAATGTTCGTGAAGAAGAAAGTTATGGTTTATTTTAACTGTTCTGTACTCTTTGATATATATTTTATATTATTTCCTTTTTGCATTGAAACTTTGTCACTTTCCTAGTGGTGAATGTCATGCTTAGTAACATGTGTGAAACATAATGTATTAAACATTTAAAGCAGCTTGTTACTGGTTTCTAATGTTTGTTTTTATTAATATCATGAACCTTTATTTTCTAATATACTCTTGGATATGAAGTCTATTACATTGTTACAGACAACAGGATGACAGGGTGAAAGAGATATCTCTACTTAGTGTGATTTGGGGGAAGAAAAGAAAAATCACAAACTGCAGATGTTTTAATTTGATGTGAATTAATATTTTACAAATAGTAATTTGTATTTCCAGTTAATGAAATGCAAAGTTTCCACACTATTCTTTGTTATTAAATTCTACTTGTGAGGTTCCATTTAATATGAATAGTAGTAGCAGGAGCAAGCCAACATTCATGGTGGGAGGTATTGGAAACTTTCAGATTTATTTACTTCCATCAAAATGGAACCCTGAGGAATAATATAACATAAATAACTACATTCTGTACGCAAGGGACACTTTGCAACAGATATCAGAGTTTTTACATTTAAATCTGGTAAATACTTTTGGAAAATGTAATGAGACATTAATGGATAAATCATTAGCAATTAACAATCCTTTATTCCAAAGAGTTATACGAGTACTTTATAAAATACAGGGATTAAAACAAACAAACACACACACACACAAAGGACCGTAATGGACACCTTTGACACAGATCTTACAATGTAGTGGAAAAGACAGGCAACTTAAGCTGGCTTTACACTTGCAAGAAAATGGCGAGCAATATTATTTCGCAAGAAAAGTTGCCAATGTAAACATTGCGGCAATTAATATTTCTGATGTAGGCAATATTTCTTGCTAGATATTCCGGTCGTAATGTAAACTCGTGTTTCCATCCTCGGAAAGATATTGCCGGCTGTCGCTGGACTAGAATTGGATTGAAGTCTGAGCAAGATATTGCTGGAAGAAGACAATGATTACCACCGTGTCATGCGTAGGAAGTACATACGGTAGTACATAGACGTAATATTTCCATTTTAATATGTATATTTCGTAAAATGTGTGCGTGAAAAAGATTTACGACAATGAAAGAAGTAGTAATTCCCTCTATGGTAGTATCAAAGGTTCAAATTTCGGTTCAGCTATAGATGCCACCTAATTATTAATTTTTACTTGATTTATTGACTAATTGATACTACGTTAAAATTATTAAGATATTAATCTAATTTAAATTAATTTTGATATTATTCCATGATACATCAGTAATGGATATTTTAAAACTTTTTACCGAATTAGTAATGGCACTTTTTATTAAAAGAAAATAACTTTGCTCCCACGAGAATCGAAATCATTTTGTTTTATGAAAAATATCGAGACACTTCTATCTAATTCGCACAAGCCCCCTTTTCCTTTCTTAAAATTCAGTCACCCATCGTCGGCGTAACTTCATCTCATTTAACACAATAAGTGCAACCGCCACTTACATCATCTGCCTTCCCCTAGACATGTCGTGAAGTGAGGTATAACTTACTTAATTTTTTAACCATTTTCCTCGCGCCGTCACCAAACACGGCAACAATTAGTCCTAGTGTACAACGAACGGTAATACCTTGCCCGAAAGATCTTGCTCAGATTTTTCTGACAATATATTGCCCCTCCTTGCTCTTGCTAGTGTAGTGTAAAGGTGAACGCAAGAAGCAGAAACAAATTGCGGAAAGGTATTGCTACTGTAAGGACAGCTCACTTTGTTCTTTACGGACTTCCTCTCTTCAAGATCTTTTCGAGTCCGCGTTGTCGGAAAATTATATTCCAGTCACCCCTTGGAAAATGGAGTTCCTCAAGGGACAATTCTGAGCGCCACTGTGTTTCCCAATGCAGACAACGAAATAACATCAATCGTACGAGAGCCTGTAAATGCGTCGCTTTTTGTTGATTTTATCATTTACTGCTCATCCAAGAGCATGAACGTCATCCAAAGGCAACAACAACTCGTCCTAAATAGAATTAATGAATGGAGCGCAAAACCTGGATTTAAGTTCTCCATCTCAAAATCTAAGTGCACTCACTTCTACTGCATATATCACCCATATCTGTTCCTTGGAGATCACCAACTCTCGTTTGCTGTCGCAGCTTCCTTTCTCGGTCTGACGACAAAAACCTGACTTGGCGCCAACATGTCCGCAACTGCATAGTCGATGTGTATCACCATTAAAACTACTTCGTAACCTCAGTGGTCCATAATGTAATGAGTTGTTATATGCAGTGATTCCTGAAGTATACTCCAGTCACTTTTGACTCTTTATCCCACGGATCACTTGACTACGACAATACATCTATTTCGCGATCTATTACCTTGCCACTATGACCTAATTGTGCGTTGGGTACCGGGTCATGTCGGAATCGCAGGCAATGGACCAGCCGATCAAGCTGCGAACACAGCCACTGAGAAGTCATCTAATGACATTCCTTGTGTCCCCTCACCAGACTACAGTGTATTTAAACCGCTTTGTACACAGTCATGGCAAACAGAGTGACAGAACTCGGATTTCAAGCTCACGAGAATCAAACATTCTATAAAGCCTTGGTCTTCCTCATTTCGTGGCTCTAGGCACGAGGAGATTATGTTCATACGCCTTCGAATCGGACATTGCCATTTCTCCCACGGATATCTTGTTCGCGGTAACTCATTCCCTACCAGTGATTATTGGGAGTCGGATCTTACTGCAGAGCATGCTCTACTGAAATGTTCCAAGGTAAAGGCCCATTCACAATGCAAACGTAAGCATAACGCATAGACGTAAACATTAACATAAGTGATATACAAAAGTATTCGCAATGCTAAATTAAACATAAGCAAAATAAGAGTTTCTATTGGCAGTGAGACATTCTAGTTCGCTATTGGTTGGATGTGAGAATCGATTTAGAGATATCGACTGTGTTCATGCCCCATATGGTGTTAGTTCGTCTATCGATTTCGCTCCTCTTTCGATACTCGATTTTGAGTTACCGTACTGTGATTGGTTCATTTTGTAAGTCTTGCTTATTAGAAGCATAAGCACAGAAGCTTGAAAGCTTCTGAGTTAACGTGTTACGCTTATGCGAAAGCATTGTGAATGAGTCCTCTTATGGGCGTAGTCCTAACTTTTATTTTAACGCCATACTTATGTTTATGTTTGCATTGTGAAAGGGTCTTAAGGCTAAATGCATTGAAAAATACTTGTGGGAGAATTCAATAAATCGCAGCACTATCGCAGGGAAATTTACTTTACTGATAAAGTCTGAACCAATGGTCCGATTTTCGATCCGTAAACGGCTTTTGAGACCTTTTAAAAATATAATTTACGCTACGAAACCCTTTTTACCATAAATCTAGCAAAAACTCGTCTTTGAAATTAGTTCTCAAACATCCGAAAAAAAAATTAAAAAAGGTGGACTTGTAGCGCGATTGCGACATGCTTTCTAAATCCAACGCCGTGACAATCATGCAAATCGGACGAATTGGAGCGTCGTAAAGTGAAATTTTGGAAAACGCCTCGCCCCCCTCCCCCTTCTGCACAGTTGCGTCACCAACCCGCCCGTTGTGGGCCCTTTGTCGGCGCCGCGGCCCGGCCAGGCCTGGCGGCGTGCGGCCAGCCCCGGCAGAGGCGGGACTTGCGGGACAGGCAAGCAAGACATTCGGTTTGTGCTTTCGTCACTTTGCATCTCAATCTATTTTTCCACAGATATCAAACTAGAGATGCTATACTACTATTACAGACCGAGGTAAACGGTCTGTAATAGTAGTACATAACTTACTTTTTCACATATTTCACAATATCTACAATTTTGACATACATTTAAAAGTAAATCGAAAGCTTTCCTGCTTAACAACATGCTCTACAGTGTAAAGGAGTATTCAAATTGCAACACTTTCCTTAAAAAATATAAATAAATAAGAATTTCTTATCCCATTAGACTTTCTGTTTAATGTTAACTGTTTCGAGCTGTAGCAAAGAAAAAAGAACTGGCATATCGTATAGTGTGAAATAGAAGGAGAACGCCCGACAAAAAACAAAAAAAATTCTGTTTATCTCTGGATTCGCTAGACGCATTAGGTGCTGCAGTAGGACTACGTGTACAAATTGAAAGAAGAAAAACTGGCCAATACTGCCTCCTTTCCCTCACCATTTCGAGTTTTAAATATAGAATGTACTAATGTTGTTTAATTTTATGTAGTTGCTAATAGAACTAATATTTTTGTTTTAATATTATTATTATTATGATTATTATTATTTATTATATTATTATATTTTTAAAATTAATAATAATAATTGATAATGACCTGCGGTGTTCCACAGGGATCAAGATTGGGCCCCTTCCTGTGGAATACCCTATATGACGACCTGCTGAATATCGAACTCCCAAAGAACTCCAGACTCATAGGCTACGCCGACGATACACTAATTATATGTCATAGTGACTTCACGGAACTACTGGAAATGAAGACCAACGAAACACTACGCAGGGTTAAAAGATGGTTGGAACAAAGAAACCTCCAGATGGCTGTTGGCAAGACGGAGGCCGTGTTGATTACAAACCGCAGAGCATTCCGCCCCCCGGTGATCCGACTGGGGGAGGAACTTATTGAATGGATACGGTATATTACATACCTGGGGGTGGAAATTGATTCACGACTGAGATTCGGACATATTATAAAATCAGGAAAAGCCGCAAAGACTGGATCAAATCTCTCCAGACTAATGCTGAACTCAGGAGGTCCCAGTGAAAGCAAAAGGAGGTTAATTTCCGCCCTAGTGCACTAAAAAATGCTGTGTGCCGCCCCAGAGTGGGCAGATGCGCTAACTAATGAGACCATTCGACGGTAATTCACACAGTTCCAGAGAAGGATTGCTCTAAGGATAATCTCAGGATATCGCACGGTATCCGACAAAGCAGCCTTAGTACTGGCCAGTGTCCCCCCAGTGAATCTTTTAGCCCAGGAAAGGAGGACAATGTACC